CCCCAAAACCCCAAAACCCCAAAACCCCAAAACCCCGAGGTAGTATTAAAGAGTTGATAATTGAGTTATTCAGTAATTGGCATAATTTTATTCATTCTTCTGATTCTGGTGTCCATTGTGAAGGTAGAGGAGGATATAGGGGGATCTTCTGGGTTTGATGTCACTGAGTTTCTTGGGAACTTTCGTAAATGGATGTCTGAGGTTGCAATGATGTTGCTGTCATTGAATCTTCTTGCATTGGTCTATGGGGTTATAAGGGAGGTACTTTTGGAGGGATTATTTGAGGAATTTCGAATGTGTCTGGTTTCTTCTTGCCGCATAGTTTCTTACAGAGCTGAGCAATTCCAACAACTATGGGTTACTCATCGACTTACCTGAGATTATACTTACAACAACAATGTTGTTGAGCATGAGGATGTAAATGTAGATCTTGGTTGACATCGAAGTCCATGCATGTTTTGTGTTGTATTTCATCAAGTATGCCACTATCAACACATAGAATATTTCGTTGAGTCACTCAATAACATTGTTGGCAGGCTCTTTAAAAGACCTTACAACAATCATATAGCTAGTGTATAATACTTGCACCAGCAGCATTCCAGGCACCAAATAATAATAGCCTGTAAATGAGAACATGATCAGCCATACTCAGAATACAAATCTTCTCAACAACAAAAGAGTTGTGAACAGTCTAGCAGCTTTTGAATCTTTTAGTCCAGCAACAAGTTCTTTTGATTTTGAGTGCTGTTTCGGATCGAAATCACGGTTGATTTGTTTGAGAGCCCAATAAAATACGAGAGACATCAATATTACGAAAACTACAGCAGTAGTTGTGGATACTGCAATATGTAATGATGATGGCTCAAAGTTCTTGATTTCGTTAAAACTTGACAACAGAATGTTCTGGTATGCTTCCAACACTAATCGAATGTAGACTCCAAATGTCAGGATCTTCCAGATCCATCCAACAAATTTGAGCGTTTTCTCTTTGCAGTCTCTAGGATCATCGTCATCAATAGTTCTGGGGAGTAGGCTCCACAAACAGTGAAATATTACCAATATCAGCAGTGTTCAAATGATACCGAAATTATTATTAAATGAACTGCCTGACTCCATCCCCATATCTCCAAGGCCAATATTGGTTTGGTTTTGCTTTAACCAATCCAGAGGCACCTTTGACACCATATTATTCTTTATTGGAAGAAAATTCATGTTGAATGAGAACATTTGGTTGCCTGAAATGTACCCTACTACGTCGGCTGGCAGAGATGCTTGAGTCAAAAGTAGAAGCATCAGGAGCTGCATTTGATTAGCCATAGACCAGATCGCCATGGGTGAAGAAGAATTCAGAAGAGACATCAGAGTGGCAATGAGAGATCCAGCGCCGGATGCAGCTTGGGATCCGCTTGAAAGAGTCTGGACTTCTTCAGCAACTACAGTATATCTTCACTTTTTGCTAAACATCAGTTGGTATCCATTTTCTCATGTCTGTCACTTGGAGCCTGTACCAGACTCTCACTCAGCACATCCCTCAACAATTCACTCAATTTTTCATGAGCTTGGTGATGTGAGAGAGCCTCCAGTTCACTCCCATCCAGACTCAACTTTACAGTTCTCATTGCATCCATCTCCATTTTCAGTGTTGTCGTCATCTCAATGCTCAGATTTATCCAAGCTTGAAAGGAGCTTTCCATTTCCACAGATAAAATTTCATGTGTCTGGTTGAGACATTGATCCTCCAGTTCATTCATAATCATCTTCAATGTTAGTACAGGTTGAATCTCACCCATCATCACTGACAGTATTATTGTCGTCACAATTTTCTATATCCAGCTTTATTCCATCTCCACATATAGCATGTCAAGTATCAGGCTGATCAGGTGATCCATTTTCACAAGTGTATCCTTGCTCTATTTCTCAAGTATCACTTCAGCCATCTCCACTATCTTTATCTCCATCATCTCAGAGCTCTCCTGACATTTTCTTGCCATCTCCTCAATCAAGTTCTCACTCACTCTTCTTATCACTATCATCCCATTCACACACATATCCTTCTTCCACTTCACAATCTTTATCACAGCCATCACCATCATCTGTATTCTCATCATAACACTCAGTAGTCAAATCAGCCGGATTTGTTCCTAGGTTCCAAGTTCAATTCCGTTCTCACACTGAAGGACTAGCTGAATTTCAAGTCCATGTATTCTCTACATTACAATCTTGGTTGCATCCGTCGCCATTTTTCCAGTTTCCATCATCTCAATTTTCTGCACCTGCTAGGTACCCATTTCCACAGTCCCTGAAGAGTTCTATTGTTAGAAATTTTAGAATTACTGTCGTATGGAATCAGCTGGAAATCTTTTCTTTGGAGAGCAGCCACACTTGAGTGTACTTCCAAGCTATAATAGCCAATCATTGGATAATATTCCTAAGACCATGAAGATCTCAAGCTTCTACCAGCCTTGCTAGCTTTAGCTATCCTGGAAGATGAAATCCTTACCTATGTATTCTGGAATGTCCAGAGCTTAACTCTTGGTCATAAAATCCAACATACATTTTGTTTGAAGGATCCCAGTTTGTCATGTCAAGAGTGTGAGATTGATCTATTTTGTTAGAACCATCCTTAAGCAAGAATTAAGATTAAAAATTGATTTTCAGTATACTTACTTCTGATATAAATGGAATTTGGGTTATTTCCTCGAGAAACTTGAGAGTATGCTTTTTCTCGGTCTCATCCAAAACTGAAAAAATTCCAATTATTTCCTATACGATAAATAAAATAACGCAGAGTAAACATGTGAGTCTTCTTAGAAAAATAGAGTGTTAGCTTTCAATAGTTTCTAAGCTCCTGTATAAGCTAAAGAAGCCTCTAAGTACTCTTATAATTCTTAAATTATGTTTCAAAATATGCAGGAATATTAAAATATCTAAAGAGCAAGCAGGAATAGATTATCATAAGCCAGTTCATTCCCCTCGTTGCATTTCGAGCAGGTCTTTGAGCATAGATTTAGCCACTTAATTCGCCAAAATTCAGATCAGTATAAAAACTATGATAATAAAATTAGTTTAAAATCTTGATTGAGTCTTTTGAAATTATTAGAAACAGAAGAATCTATCATAACAAAATGGTCCAAGTTTCAAAGGAAACTTGGAAATTCCGTTCTTAGACCCAAAACAATTATATATAATTAGTTCTAATTCTTATGTATAGCACAGAGGTGTTTAAATTAAATTCTTACCATAAATACGACGATCCAATTGATTAAATTGAACCCCATTTATTTGAAAATCTATGTATAATCTAACGAAGACTGAAGAGGTTCTTTTATCCACTCTAGCTGTTAATTCTACAGCATCATCAGTTGTAAACTATAAAGTTATGTTTGGAGCTTGCTTTGTTTCTAATTTTTAGAAAAATGACGTCATTAAAATTGGTTTGATTGAAATAAATCCAGGTATTTATTGCAAAAGAGTCTGTTCCACTCTGAAAATCATTGGAAAACTCAAGATAACTAAAGAGATTAGAGGAAAATACTTTTTCTCATCAGAGCGGTACTGAATGTAGTCGGGATGGACATCAGGGTTGAGGATAGAGGAGCCTGGAGAGGTGGAGGAGGAATCTGGCCATATGAGGGAGGGCTGTGGAGTTGAATTTGAGGTGCTGTGGATTGGGATGTTTGCAGTCGTGTTTTGGAAACTGTACTTTGCTATCAGGGTAGAGTTGATTTGGAGTGTGAGTAGAGATAGCAGGAGGGTTTGAAATAGGTTTTGGAAGAATGGAGGTTTCTATAGGGAAATATTATTTTTGGGAATTTGAGAGGCTCTTAATTGATTTCTGGCAAAAATTGCATTTCTTACTTTATATGATTAGTATTAATAATAAAAATCTTGAGATAAGAATTTTCTTGAATTTTTTATATAAAATAAATAAGACATTCTGGCTAATAATTTTATAAAGTTTTTGAATAGTATTTGTTCTAACATCAAAAACTAATACAATAACTTCTCTAAAAATTTATTCATATCCAATCGCAAAAATCCATTTTTAACATTTAATACCCAAGGATATCTCTAATCTTCCAAAACCAGCAAAATCCCACTTTAATACCCCATCCTTCCTGCCTTCCTCCCTCCATTCCTAATAACCCTCTCCCTTTCCTACCAAAAGCCTTCTAAACTCCCTTCACTACCCTTCTCCTCCCCTTCATTCTTCCTAACCCCACTCAACACCAAATTTCCCTTCCCAAAAAAAACAAGTTTTCCCTTTACTTCCTAAAACTCTACTAAAACATCCTATTTGCGTTACAAATTCCTTCAGAATAGAAGAGCAAAAAGAATTAGAATGAAGCTTACAGCTTTCATTTTTATTTTAATTGCTTTATATTTTATTATTTCAAAAACTGAACGAGGTGTGGGGTTTTGGGGTTTTGGGGTTTTGGGG